TATATATATATATATATATATATATATGTAATAAAACCCCTTCTTAATCAAAAAAAGACAAAATAAACTTTTTTAGACATAATTAATTACTATATATTTTTTAATTTTTCTCCTGTCTACTTGTTTACAATTATTAATAATGCATTTTATTATTTGACACATTTTAACTTTTATAGTTATTGTTATGAATTAATTATTGAATACGATATGAGGACAGTTGATGTGTGCGTAAATGATGTAAGAGATCGTGTCAAGTGGAAATTTAGGATAAAGTTGGCCGACCAAAGTAGTTAGAATAAAGGCAAGGAAAAAGAAGAAGAAGAGAGTATCTTAAATAATTTAATTTTATCAATTAAATTATTTAATAAAGTATGAAATATTTCCATTTTTGAAAAAAAAAAATGTGGTTTGACCATGTAAAAAGTAATAAAAATAAATTAATTTTCTATTATCGTAATAATGTTATAAAAATATTTTTGCGAACAATCACAAAGAATCTGATAATTTTTTTATATTATTCGATATACAATAATAGTTCAAAAAAAAATGATCTGAAAATGCAATTTTATTTTACAGAAATTCTTAAACAAATTGAATCTGTCGTTGGAGATAAAGCAATTTTACCATGTCGCGTGCAAGATGGGAAAACAAATATAACCGAGTGGCCCGTTTTAATTATTTGGTACAAAAATCAAGACTCACCAATTTACAGGTATGGAAATGTAAATTTTTGTTCTCTTTTTACTTTTTAATTCTTGTGCTTTGTTAAATTTAATAATGAAAATTTTTGCTTTTCAAAAGACAAGGCAGTTTAATATGTTTTGTGATTTTTATTTTCTTTTTTAGAAGTATTTAAGTCGAGTAAATTTCTTTAAAATATGTTAACAAGGGAAGATTCTTTTATTATTTCAATAATTTCTCAAAATTAATTACTATTATTCTGGTATACGAATTTCTCATAACTATTTGTTTTGTTATTATGAATATTATTTAGTACTTTTGAATAAAAACAACAGATACTAATCTTTTAAACTTAATTTACTATATTTTAAAATTTCTGGAATACATATTTATGAATAATAAATGTTTTGAACAAAGTTTTATCTCGTCTTTTTTAGTGAACTACAAAAGGGTTAGGCATAAAGTTTAGAGTTAATATTTAATTATACATTTGAATAGCTTTAATAAAATTACACACACAAAAACATGTTTGAAAATATCATTGCAGTGTGGACCATCGAGAACGGGCAATAGCCAAACACTGGTCGAACAATTCAATAGCAGAACGCATTTACTTTTCGAAATCACAAGGTTTTGCAATGTTAACAATTAATAACGTCCAAGTTACTGACGGCGGAGAGTACCGGTGCCGGGAGGATTTTAAATACGCTCCCACGCGAAACAACTTTATACTCCTCAATATCATCAGTAAGCTTTTGACAGCAAATAAACTGACAAAATTAAAAACCATTCAATGGCCCAACAACAGTAATGGTTTTTTTCTTTTGACAGTTCCGCCAAGTAGATTGGAAATCGTCGCTTCCAATAACCGTGTTATTTGGAATTCCACAGTGCCACCAGTTATTGAAAACGAATCATTGGAAATTACATGCATAGCGTACGACGGTATGTATTATATAACATTAAATTAAAATTTGACCTTATACAATTTCTCAGTAAATAGTTGTTATTTATGCGATTTTTCACGATATTGATGATAAGCAAGAATGTAAAACAACGCAATCAGACAATGCAGGCTCATTTTTTAAAAGTCAGACATATATCATTATAAATCTGTCTTCGTATTCAGTACAAATTAAAAAAATTATTTTATTTTATTAATATAATTTTATGATTCCATATAAAAAATCGTAGTTAAAATTTATTATAAAAATAATCCAAGAATTTTTTTGATCAAGTGATCGTAATGGGTTTTTTTTATAACATACAGAATTTAAATAATGTTAGTAAATTTAGTTTAATTTTTTACTCTTTTTTGTTTTTTTAGTTTTTTAGACGTCGAGAAAAATATGCGATTAACTTTTAAAAGAAAAGAAATTAAAACAAAACAAATAAATAAATCCCAACGCCTACGAAAAAATCTTTATTCGATTATTTATTTTCAAATATTTGGTCGTGTAGAATCTATTAATCGCTATAATTTAGACAATATTTTTCTTTGTTACAAAATTATTTACATAATAACTATCATTCCATTCAAATTAGGCGATTCGCTTTTGGTTTTAAATTAAAAATAATAAAGCTTCAATTAATTGTAATATCTTATTTTAAAAGTAACTTTTTTGACTCAAAACATTAAATGTAATTTATGTCATAAAACACTTGCAAAACAAAAATACAGTTAAATTACAACTAAACTTGTTTCAAACTCTATTAAATGATAGGTATTTGTAAATGATAAAAACATAGACGTTATACCTGGTAACTGCTTACTATTACTGATAATTTATTTGAACTGTACAAGCAAATAAATATGCGACACTTGACATATACTAAGTATAAGTTCAACAAAAAATTACATTACGGAAACAACATACAACATGCTAGGTAACATTAAAACAAAAATGTAGTTTACTATTTACAATCTTAACTTAAAATAAAAACTCCACGATAAAATATGAGAGCGTATCAATATACGTATTCAAATATTCTATTGAATCGTTGTGAATTATATTTATACTGATATTATTTTATAAAATTGTTTAATAACCTGATATTTTAAAAAGGGCTAAGCCCGTTAAATTTATAAATAAATAAATATAATAGAAAAATTCAACTGTGCATTTTGATGAAATTTTATTAGAGTCACTGTTCTTAGTTACTTTAAATTATTTTAAAGTATATATACCAGGAAGAAAATTAACATTTCTTAATTTAAAAATTCATACATTCTTGATAATAATTTAAGCTAATTTACTGAAACATCAACAAAAAATGTTAAGTTTTAAAGGTCAATCCTTTATGTATACAAAACTATGAAAAATAAACAGATTACGATTATCATGAACTTAACAGATAAAAGAACATCTTGAACTCTTTATATAAATAAAACCTAACTTAAAACTTCTGGCACGAACGCCAAATTTGTGTTTATTATCTATAATATACTCATAAAACTTTGCTATGACATATGTCAAGAGAATATAACATTCATGTGAAATATATGATTTTCTAATAAATATCAATTATAATGGCTTAAAAATTCACGTAGTCTTTTTTGTTTTAGCGTTTAATTTTTATACATTTTATTAAATTTTCCAAATAATAAAATTACCGAATATTAAATAATTTAACATTTATTAATATTTAATA